GCGGAGAAGCGCGCCCCACCCAACCCCTTCCTGGGAGCTCGAAGGAAAACAAGGCCTGGCTATCGCACGAGTGCGGACCTGGACTCCGAGGTTTACAGTTGCTGGCGGGGCACGGAAACGCCAAAGATCCGCCGGGCTTTCCCTCCGCACGCGAGAAGGGTGGCCCCGCCTACGAGGAAAAAGGGGCGGGGCAAGCGTCCGTGCGTCGGAGGAAACTGCCCCGCACCACTGGGGCTAAAGTAGACGTCGGGGCGGCCTCCTGCTAAGTAGGCTCTGGAGCTACGCCTAATCTAAGGTTTTCCAAATCGCCAGTCAAAATTTGGGGTGATGCGAAATTCCTGGTGCTGGAGAGTGGTGGCTGAGTGTGCAACGGTGTGAATGCACTTAATGCCGCTAAACTCTCCGTAAAAATGGTTAGAATGGTCAATTTTGTTAGGTAGGTTTTGCTGCAATAAAAATTACACATTTCGTGCAAATAAAATATATAAAATGCTCGTGTGCACCTCACTGGATTAGGAAATAAATCATTACACATATAACTCTGGGCCTGGCAGAATGGGACGTTCTCCTCTAAGGCGAACCATGCTTGTATGATTTTGTGTTTACCACTCCCAAGTGGTATAGTAATTATTGTATGATTCTGAAATTTATATAAATATTTGGTATGTAATCTGCAAATCTTCTTGCTCAAAATGCTTTTTAGATTTATCCAGTGATGCCTGTAGCTGTACTTCATTCATTTCCATTGCCCATATGTAAATATGCCACATTTTTTATCCAGTTTCCTGGGCTACACTACATCAGCTGTTTTCAATCTCATCGCTGTTACCAAAATTCCGGCCTAATGGAAAAAGGGTGTGAGCAATTGTTATAGGGCACCCCAATGTGAATTGGGTTGCCTGTCTGTGGGTCTTCACCCGTGTGCTTACTATTCAATAGTATTATGGACACACTCAAAAGGTTAAATAATGGATTTATTTATAAGGAGAAAGGTAAAGGAATAACCCAGGGAAAGAGGGAGAGAAACACAGGTTAACTAGGATGTCCTGCCAGTTCTGCTGACTTGGACTCCACCAGCACGCTGAAAACCGATTGGGCTCCAAAACGATCAGCTGCAAACCACCAGGTCCCCCTAG